GCCAATATTACAGTTACGGCAAATGCCACGGTACACGTGAAAACTTTAACTATATATACAACTTGTTTTTGCTTATAAAGAAATTATTTGTTCTCAACATTTCCCAAATATTCTATTTGCTGTACCACCACACCCTGGGAAAACTTACGGAAATTCAGAATTTTGCAATCTGAATTTTCAAAAGTATCACATCTAAAATGATTTAAAAGCACATTATGGTCTGCTCCCGCTTCAATAAGCATTGAGTTTTCTTACCCCAACCACGTTACCTTATGACCCAGTAATTCTATTTTAAACCGGACATTGATTGCCTATAAGAGCGACGGCTAGAACAAGAAGCAATATTATTGTTTTAGAACTGCGCCAGCTTTATTTTACTAATCACATTACGGCTTGTTCTTAAAGTTTTTTAAACCCTTTCTTGCCTTTTACCCAACAGGTCTCTGTAAGTAGAGTCGCTTTCCTGAATGCACCAACAACACTAACGGAACATTCGTGGACCATATTAATACCACAACGGAGACAAGTCAGGTTTTTGCCGGGTACCAATATTTGCATTTATAAAAATATAGCTACAATTCTATCATCACACTTCCGCAGGTCGGACCATTGTATGGTTTTTTGATGATTGTCTGTGGTGCCTGTTGTTCGTTGGTGGCATTGCCGTCCGGCGGGGGTGCTGCTTCTCTGTTGTGGGTTGGTTTGGAAATATAGCGGATAATTTGTTATGCGTAAAAAAGATCGCTGCTGTTTACGGAAAAAATGGTTTTGATAACCCCCCCTCACAAATTGTCCATTTAGACTTCACGTGACCGAATTTTATGTATTGTTTGAGGAGTTGGCGTCTTGTTGAACATAATGTGTTCCATTTGTTAGCCAATTGTTTCAAACACTTTTAGTTGCTGTCTTCACCAAATCGTTGTGGTCAACTGGGGTTGTAGTTACAGAAGCTTTACATTTTGGAGATTGATGTAAACTGCTCCTCTATGAGCAACGCTTGCTTTCTAGCTTCTTCAAGGTTTACATCTTGAGCTACACTATGTCTGTTGTTTTAGAACAAAGCCCTTTATAAACAGTCCACTTTCTGTCCTTCACATTAAATCACATGTTTCACGCACGTTAGAAAATTATAACAGTATTCTCAATCCTTCTTCACCTTACTAATTGCTTAATTGAAGGATGTCATCTTTGGTCAATTGCTACTAAAACGACTACCTTAAAACGTTGATTTAGAGACTTTTAGTCCTTAGACTTGAATGGTCTCTTTGCGCAACTGATGACAATCCACACCCGCATTCCTTGCAACAATTTGATAAAGTCAACATATTTATTGTCTCTTCACTCAGCTTTCTCACCTCCAAGTCTTTCAAACTTCTCCGCCTACGTATCTATTTCCACAAATCCATTGCCTTGAAACGGTTCCAACTTTATATTACTTAATAACTTGATGCTGCCATTGGAGCAACTTTGGCACAGGCGTTACTGATGGATTGTCTGTAGACGCTAGTTAGATACGAGATAAATGTTGCAAGGTAACAACCGAATTCCGGCGACGTGGTGGTTTGGATTGGACGCTACTTCACGGTGTTGTTGGTTGCTGATGCTTCGCTTTCACCCAGCACTCCCTACGAGGTTATATCTGTTAGCTGGGCATTCGACAAATACCACTGTAACCCACCACTTATTATAACGTGCTTAATTGCACGGGATTATGGGATCTGCAAATACCACAATATTATAAAATCCTAAATCCAAATAATTTTATAAATAACAACTTTATTACTTGCTATTAAATAGTGCTGATGGTGACATGTTGTATATGCAAATGATATTTTAAAACACAAGGAATTGTTATAGTTATAAAATAATTGCATGAAAGAAGGTCAATTGTTCAATTTTAAAATATCAAATAAAAACACAATTAATACATGTAAAAGCTTAACACACGCTGCTACATAAAACATTGGGAAAAGCAATTGATTTAACAATTGATAGATTCACTTGCTTGGCAGTGAGAGAATTGACCGAGATCTTGTCGACACTATAGCCCTATGCTAACAGAATAACACACATTAAAAATGAAGCAATCTCAGTCTAACTTCTATTCTTAAACGTCTGCCATTATATACTTATTTAATACTTTAGCTTAAATCTACAATATCGGTACAGAAATAAGTTTAAATGATGCTTTTCGTAAAAAATAAAACAACGAAAAAACGTTATAAAAAATAATTTAAAAATGTTAAAATTGAATATATTACAACTGGTAGGAATTATACTAAATCTTATATTGTATAACTTATATTACTTAACTCTAACATTACTTAACAATTTACTTAATTATGCATAAATAATTACTTTAAATCCAAGAGTGGAAGATGTTACAAAAATCTCAATACCCAGCAGATCTCAAAATCATGCTTTACAAGTAAAAATGTATATTACATACTCAGAGATAAAATTTACTTAATACCTGTATACATTATGAAATAAAGATAAATTCTTTACAGGTATTATGTTATGTATATTAAAGCAAAACATGTTTTATATTTACAACTAATAATTAAAATAATTACACACGAATATAAGATATAATTTCTTGCAATCAAATATAAAAAATCCTAAATCCAATAATTCTTTACAATACAAACTTATTACTTGCTATAATATCCTGGATGCTCATGTTTGACCCATGAAAAGCTCTGGTTAACATCTCATATACAGGAATCTGCGACTTTTAGTGCTCAAAAGCGTGAAATACGAGCAGGATATCTTGTCACTCAAATTATGAAAGCATAAATTATCAGTTATCACCTTTGTATTCTTGATCTTTTCTGGCATGTCCGTCAACTTAACACCTCAGCGCTTCCTGTACAGGATTATTACTTATTAATTTTGGCCAAGAGCTTTTAAGATCAATTATCACCTATCAGTGTCACCTAGAGTAACATTGACAAGTTGTAAGAAATCTTATCACTTATTACCTTTTAGATTCTAATCTTGTTTTTATTAATTCTTAAAATAATAATTTGGAATTGCAGTTGAAATCTAAAATTGTATAGTAGAAAAAATATAATTATCTCTACTTTTAAGAAGTAATATTAATTAGACCAGTATAATATAATTATCTGTACTATAAAGCAGCGCTGAAATGATACAAAACACAAATACAACTGTTTTCATTTAAAAAAACAATACATAACATTACATATTTTTATAAATTACATGATATACATGAGAAACGAATTGCATAATATTACATCCAGAAAAATAAACATTATAATAATTGCATTCATAGAAGAAAAAAAAACAACACTTCTTTAGCATAACTCAATTTTAAGGTAGAGTCTATGGCAAATTCAATACGTGAGTCTGACCTTCACGATAAAACCAGACAGGATAAAATGACCCGAAATTTAAAAAAAAAATGCGTAAATCATATGAACACATATAATTTAATGTCAATTAACAAAACCAAAATTACCTTAGAGAAGACAGGTAAAATAGAAATCATGAGAACTAACATCATTTTTATTCATTCATCAACTTAGAAAACTTGATTGAATTAACATTAGTACTATACTCTCTAGCACAGGGGGCCCACACAGTGTTTGGATGGTATATGCTGCTTGATAGTGACCTTAAAATGAGATTTTAGTCATAACCTTATAATATGTATATAAATATAGACTAAATAATTTCATTATACATATTATAAAGAGATATGACTAAAATCTCATTTTTAAGGTCACTATTCAAGCAGTATATACCCTGGTCTCTAACTATGTATTTATTTTTCTATCAGTTCAAAGAATTACAATTAATAGATAATGGATATTCGTCACCGAAGTGAGCTTGCAAAAGTTAATAACACAGTGCGAAAACGGGTTCCGGAGCGGTGCATGAAATACCAAATGACACCTTTAAAACGGTAATTATTATGTGTAGTATAGGTTTGCGTATATATATAAAAAAAAAAGTATTTATGAAATTTAATTGGCCCAGCCGTTCGACTAATTTGATGATTTAAATGCTTATTAATAAACACTAACCAATTAAGTGTTTGAAATTATTTTTTATAAAACTATCGACTTTAAAGACGGATTAAATTTAGCCGAATTACTAAAGTAAATGTGTTTTGATTCATTTGAAATATTGCAATTCTATTGTACAAACATATATGAATCCAATTTGATTTAACTGTTGACAGTTTTTTATAAAAAATATTTCATAAAATAATTATAGCTTTATACCCATTAACGTTCCTGGAAAGAAAAACTAAAAATTTAATACTTTACTCAAACTACCTATATTTTAAAGAGTGACACTAAATTTCAAGCCCTTTGATTTAATAATTTCTTCCGATGTAAATCTAGTGACATTTGGCAACTGTTATGATTTGATTTCAATTTCCCGCTAAATTATACTTTCTTTCTTTATCTTTTCAAAGAAATGAAATTACAATTTAATAGAATTCTCTTTTCTTTTATGGTAGAATAATATGAAATAATGCAAAGCCTTTGAACGGGGAGGTCGGTCAAAAAATCGTCTCGGAATACCCCTCCTATTATCATTGATTAACATTGAAAATGGCAGCAACCGACTAGAACTGACACTGAAAATTTCATTGATAGGTTAAGAATTCTATACATTCTTTAATTGTTTTTTTTTATTTAAGTTTCTTTTAAATATACACCTGTAGCAGGGCAAGCCAAAGCCCGAAGCCACTTCGCGGTCCAGGCCTTTGACTTCCCGGTTTTATCTGGAGATATTAAAGAACTTCGAATACGAACTCATGAACAACAGTCAGTAGAAAGCATGACATGGTATCAGACAGTATTTCATCTCATGTGTACCAGTTCCTTCCCCGTGAAAATGTTTGAAGTGCCAAATGTAAAAAAAGAGTAATCAAATTGTCATAAGAAATCTACTCATTAAAAAAAACAAACATTCAAAAGAACTGCAATAAATATAAAACAAAATAAACAATAAAGACTCACCGCTGTCCTGAGCACTAGTGTTCCTCCCATGTCCACAAATGAAAATACTGACACAAGTGATAGTTGTAACAAGTATTCAGCAATGATAAAATAGCTGCGTGTCAGTCGCTATTTATCAGATGATTTTAATGAGAAATTATTGATCTAACTTGTTTTTAGAAAACTTGCCTGAGTTAGAAATTATACGCCTGACCCTTACACCTGTTGCCCGGCCCTTACACATGTTACCTGACATAATTTAAATGTCAGATAAGAGAACCGTTTTGTTCTATGACGCTCGCCTGAGTTGTAAAGCTAATAAAATAATTTGCAGAGTATTGTGGTTTGCAGACCTGTGGCAACACAAAATTTTTACATTACAATATGTTTGACAAACCTTTCATGTGTGTTCAAATCTAATATAACACGGGAAACAAACAACAACTACTACAAAAAGAAGCATAAGTGGATATACAATAGGAATACCTCGGCCATTATTCATAATAGAATAAACTCCACATAAAACGCTTTACCGCTTAGAACAATGCTGTTACCGCGGTCCGGACTCTTTGTGTTCACAATAGTTGACTCTCGGATAAAACGATATCCGGATAAAGCGATAAAAAATCGGCAGGAGTCCTGATACATCCGTATAAGCGGGAGTTACTGTTAATTCATGCGAAGTTTGACCGGGTAAATGCCTGAAGATGCGAGTGGCTGGTTATAATATTTAGCAATTAACAGCTCGCCTTTCGTGCCTTCGGGCGACATGAAACCCTTATTAAGCATAGACTAAATATAATAATAGGTGTGTTGATTTCGGCTAATTTTCCGATTTTATTACCATATTATATCCCCTACATAACGGATAAGGATGACCACTCCTGCATACCAGCTTATCGTGTATATGTTACAGCTAAAATTATTGATTTGTACAACACGCACTCACTTACTCATAAAAAGTCCTTTCTGAGCTCAAATCTATATATTGCTACCATTTCTTCGCGTGGATTCGCAATGTGTAAAAACAAAGTAAAATATACTGTAAAAGATATAACTAATAAACTTATCCTATAACGAAAACAATAAAACTTTCTTTTAATTTTTCCCAAAAACCCGATAGGGAACGGTACAGTATTCGCGTTTTCGTACAGTAGTATTTTAAGATGTGAGGATTTTATGAGAGATGTAGTGTTTCTTATTCACCTCCATACTACATAAGTTTAGTTTCTAAAAGATGTTTTTGTGCTTTGCTTGTAAGGAACAGAATCCGGTATCTAGTCATATATTTTCTTCAGACCCTGCACCGCAGATTTATCTCTATATTGTCTCATAAATGTGCAGATTTGAAGGTTTAAAATTTTGAATCGAGAGACCAACGCATTTTTTTCCTCATTCCGACATTATTTAAGCATGCCTAGAAAAAGTAAATCTACAAAACGTTAGTCCTTTGTGTTTAGAAACGTTTATAAAAAGTAAATGACCAGTTGAACCTATTTTACTGTTGGTAAAATGAGTTTGAAAAAAAACAATGTTACAGTATAGAGCGAGGTTAATTTTGAAGGGTTACAGCATAGACCTAGCGACTTCGATCCAATTTTGTTACAGTTTATACCCAGATTTTCGGTTACAGTTTAGATACTTGCCAAATTTCAAACAAATTTCGTGTATCCATTATTTTTATGAAATAACTCATACCTTTCTATTTAATACATTCTTGAAAGGTTGTATTACTTTTTTCTTCAGCAGAAAAGTTATAGTATGCTATTTTTCTTACTTTAAGTTTCAGATTGAGACTTTTTGCAGAATAAGTAATGTCCTAAGTAAGGACTGTTTTTCACGACAACAACAGTAACTTTTATCGAATTGTATTGAGAGAAGAATGATTATTGCTTGATTTCATTACACATTATATAATGCCTATTAGTAATAAAAATAGAGAAATAAGATCCTTAACAGAAGTCCAACACGGAAAACATGAAAATGTTGCAGGGATCAGTTTGATTAACCTATTCATGGACGGAAGTGTTAACTGCAACGCTACCGTCCACGCCTCCTATAGCACCGTATTCAGCAGAATTCACATTGAACATGAACTGGTACACTTTAATTTTTTAACATATGTGGATGTGTTTCATATGGCGGTTATCATGGAACCTTCAATGTGACACGTTATTGCCATTCTATGAAAAGCGGCATATTACCCTAGGTTAAAAAATTTCGTGTGTGTCCTAAACGAGAATACAATGAGTGAAACTAAATAAAATGAAATCGGAGGTTATGAAACCTGCATACCATAGATAAGCTGTCAAAAGACACAATTAACAAGCAGGCAATACCCTAATAATGATTAAACAGTATTTAAGTGAGCAATATTTCAACCATAAATTTTATTTTAAGTTGGAATTTCCATCTACAATAATGATTTTGTAAGTATTTAAAAAGGGTTGTTACGTTTGGCTTTCTTGGATTTTAAGTTTCAACGACACTGAGGTCATGTGAAAACATTCCTGCTTTAGTGTAAAGAAAGACCCCAGATACACTTTGTGAAACATTTCAGACACGAGCGGGCACCTGATTAGAACCACCGACCTTCCGTAAATTAGCTTGATAGATTCCTCACATACAAAGAATCCAAAGTCATGATTGGATTTCAACTAACAGCAGTAAATGAAAGATAATTTGAAGTCGACGCCTTATCCCGACTCTGCCACTATTATGTACCTCATCAGGCTCACTAGAGAAGATATTGTAATTGTCTTTGACCTTAATTTATACTCTATATTTTTCAATATTATTTCATGAAAACTGCTATACAGAATGTTTCTGAAATAAGAAAAAACGAGTTTTAGTTTAATAATGACAAAATAATCTAAAATTCAAACAAAGAAGCATTCGAAATGACGCCATGATCATGATTTGATTTGAATGCTTTTGGTTCGATACGAGAAGGTCTTTAAACATTGCCTTTTTCAAAATCTGTTTTGGTTTTTGTATCCCCGATTGCACCTAAACACCATCTTGAACAACTAATAGGTAGAAATCATGTAAATTTCATCACATTAAGTCAAGTAGTTACTGAGCGATGAGTTTTGAACACACATGTGTACGACAGACGACGAATAGCCATCGGGCCAATAAGCTCACAGAGATTTAAAAGTCTATTGTAACATCCATACATTTACCTAGTATATATAGAAAATATCGAAGTCTAAACTGTAACCGAAAGCTGAGTATAAACTGTAACAAAATCGGAAAACAGTCGCTAGGTTCTATGCTGTAACCTTGCACAAATCACCTCGCTCTATACTGTAACATTGTTTATTTTTTCAAACGCATTTAACGAACAGGAAAATAGGTTCAAACTGGTCATTTACTTTTATAAACGTTTCCTAACATAAAGGACTAACGTTTTGCAGATTTACTTTTTCTAGGCATGCATAAATAATGTCGAAATTGGAGAAAAATGCGTTGGTCTCTCGATTTAAATTTTCAAACTGTCAAATCTGCATATTCATGAGACAATATAACGATAAATCTGCGGTGCAGAGTTTGAAGAAATATATGACTAGATACTGGATTCTGTTCCTTACAAGCAAAGCACAAACCATCTTTTAGAAACTAAACTACTTGTAGTATGGACCGGAATAAAAATCACCTACCTGTCCTCCCAACAAATAGTCCTCCATCTTTAAAATTCTATACTGTAACCGAAAAACGCGATACTGTAACACGTTCCCTACGGTGTTAATAAGATCAATGTTTTCATAATGTCACGCTGAACGTGTCCCACTAGGACAGATACGAGACACTGGGATGTAAGTTCGCTTATTATCGATAAGTTAAGTGGATATATTCAGACAATAATTTTATAAACACATTACAATAATTTGATTGGAAGCTGTAAATCGCCATTAAATTGTACAGTAATGCATTTATTATTGTATGCATTAATTCTTTATAAATCCTGTCTCATCACACATATATTATACCTTTATGCCACATTGCTCACACATCTCGTACCTTTCTGCCACATTACATCTACTTCCATCTTTTTTCCAAATCTCTTTTACAGTTCTGCCACATTAATACTTCCATCTTGATCCCCCACCCCCTGTGCCCCCCACAACTCTTTAAGTCACATAACTTTCTTTCTTTGTTTAAATGTGCATCACTACACAAAAATTTACTTTCAAACCCCCGTTAGTTACACTTACCCCCATTGTTTTGGCGTGGGTTCGATCCCCAGGAGATGCTTTGGTAGTTTAGCGCGGAGGAAGGTGGTCTTGTACTGGTGTAACTCTCCAGGAACGATGGTTAGGAAACTACCCGCCTATATGACTGAAATACTGTTGAAAAAGGCGTAAAATGAAACAAACAAACAAACAAAATTGTTTTGGCGCCCAAACCCGACAGTGCCGGTGTTGTGTAAGATTCGTCAGGACCGTGAAAAAAAGTAAGGCGGAAAGTATCAAGCGTATGTTCTGAATTTTTTTCAAAACGCTCATATTAAGTTTTTTTTATATTTATATATGATCAGTACATGTGCTAGGATTGACAAATATGCATTTTATTTGGACTTTTTTGGCGTTTTGAGCTCCACACCCCAAGTGACCCGTAGTGAGAGGAAGGGGTGCTTTGTAATACAACTTAATTAATCCTAAATTTGTTAAAAAGTTTTATATCATACAATAGAAGAAACTTATTACTGTTATCATACATAGTGTGAAAACATACATATGTGTAACACATGGTGATATGGGATATGTTGTTTACAAAAGTACGTAGTAACCTAAACAAACTAAGTTGTCCCTTAATTAGGTATCTAGGATAGTTTATATAGCTCGACTAAACAAAAGTTTTAATGAACTGTCATTTCTACATTTTACTAGTTATGTTTCACAACATGTAATTTTTGCCCCACATCTCTTTTTTTTGTATTATTTTCTCAAATACTTCATTTCTAATCCCTCATATGATTTCTCTTTCCGTTCATATTTCTTATCTCAACCCTCGTATATTGCACTTCGCAACTCATATATCTGGTCATTTCCATAATATTTCTTAACTCAAACCTCATATTTCTTGTCTCAACCCTCATATTTCTTGTCTCACCTCTCATTTTTTATCTCACCCCTCATATTTCTTTCTCACCCCTT